AGCTGGATGGGAAGTGGGGCTGCCAGGACTAGAACCAGAGCCCATATGGGATCCAGGTACGTTCAAGGCGAGGGCTTTAGCTATTAGGCCACTGTGCTGGGCCCTGGAGGCAACACATTATAAGGAATTCTCCACTGCCTTAGTCTTTAGATTTACGTCTCTAGATTTAAAAGTACAAAATATTTTACTCTGTTTGGGTCTGTGAAAAGAAAAGGTGAGAATGGTTTAAGAGGAGTGACAACTCTATTTCTTTTTTTTCCCTTCTATTTTTATGATATAACTATTTCACATAGTTTTTTTCTTTAGCTTATGTTTATATTCATAAAATAATTAGCTTTGGAAATGACAATATCCTTCAGTGATATTTTTAAGAGATAAGCTAGACATTTCCTTTTTTAGATCTTTGTGGGTTCTCGGTACCATGCTTTTGATTTTCAATCACTCTGATAATGCATCATAGATCTTTCTGGACGCCAGTAGGTGCTACTGCCCTGGGCTTTTCCTTTTGTGCAGCTATTTGCAACTTCAAGTTCAGACAGACTTGCAATGGCAGTACTACTTTGTTTAGAACAGGGCTTTGCTTCCTCCCATTCCAGTTTCCTGAGGTGACATTTTCATTGATTTATTTGGGGATGCCACCTGTAGTTAGAGAAAAACATTAATTATTGACTTCTAAAAAGTTCATTCTGTGGGTGCCAATGACTAATTTCCACACGGATATCACAGCTGAGGAGCCAAGAACCTGGCAAACACTGAATGAGTACAATGGGTCAAACAGGGAGTTAGTGACAAAAACAGGACACTGAATGACTCCAATCTGGGAGAGATGGTCAATGTGTCAACAATCTCAACAGAATTCAAGTTGTGGGCGCAAAATGTTATGACAGCCCACAGAGCAGGCAGTGACTAATTCTGTCTGGGGAGAGCCATTATGGTGTAGGGGGTGATGGAGAGAACAAAATCACAGGGCCAGATTGCCTCTCAGTCTACTTCACATCTTCCTTTCCTCTGGCAACTGTAGCCACTGCCAAGTTGTTGATAAATACTACCACCAGTTAACAATTTCCCTTTCTGAGACCTCAGCATCCAACTCTGGTGTCAACTTCAGGTATATAATCTAATCTGCCTTGCAATATGAGCTCTGCAAGTCTCAAGGCACCTCAGATAAAATAGATCACTGTGGGGCCAGCACCATGGCATAGTAGGTTAAGCCTTTGCCTGTGGTGCCAGCATCCCACATGGACACTTGCTTAAGTCCTGGATGCTCCAATTCCAACCCAGCTCTCTGCTAAAGTGCCTGGAAAAGTAATACAAGATGGCCCAAATCCCTGGGGCCCTATCACCATAAAGGAGACCCAGAAGAAGCTCCTGGCTCCTGGTTTTGGATTGGCTTAGCTCTGGCTGTTAGGGTCATTCTGTCTGAACCAGCAGACAGAAGATCTGTCTCTTTGTAAATCAATCCTGGTTTGAGTTTTACCCAGACCTGGCTGTTGCAACCATTTGGGGAATAAACCAGCGATGGAAGATCTGTCATTTTGCCTTCCAAATAAATAAACCTTAAAAACAAACAAACAAACAAAAAGCACAAAGACCACCACTCACCTTCAAAATTTCTTCCTTTATTCCCATCTCGGTTTCTGCACAAACCCCAGTCACCCTCATTCCTCCTTATTGCATGTTCCAAGTGGCCACCAATTCCTATCAATCCTACTTGTGAAGTTCTCAAGCTATTACTTCTCAGCCCTCCATTCCCCCTTTCAGTTACCGTAAAACAGTCTACCTACTCCAAACGGTTCCAATTCATTTATTCCAAAACACATACACATACACTTGGATACAAGTCACTGTAGATACTGCAAGTAAACAAGCCAAAGAAAGTACCTACTTTATGGAGCTTTCTTCAATTCAGTAATTCTAGTCAATTTCCTTTTTAATGTTCATCTTGGCAGGCACTTAATCAAGAACTTGAGATGCCCAAGTCCCATCCTGGCATACCTGGCTCCAGCTGGCTGCTACAGCAGACCCTGGGAGGCAACGACAATGACTCAACTAATGGGGCTCCTGTTCTCCACAAAGGAGACCTGGACTGGGTTTCTGGCTCCCAGCTCTGGCTTGGCCAGACCTGGCACTGCAGATATTTAGGGGAGTGAACCATCAAACAGAAGCTCTGTCTCTAAATAAAGTTACTACCTATCAGCTTTATCATTGTGAGCGTACCATTACCAACTGGATAAACTCCTAGTATATAGGCACAAAACTCTTCATACTCTTACATACAGAGAGGAGGAGGAAAATATCTTCACCCATTGATTCACTCCTCAACTGGCCGCAATGGCCACCACTGAGCTAATCTGAAGCCAGGAGCCAGGAACTTCATCTGGGTCTCCCACATGGGTGCAGGGTCCCAAAGCTTTAGGCCATCCTTGACTGCTTTCCCAGGCTATAAGCAGGGAGCTGGGTGGGAAGTAGGGCACTGGGACTAGAACCAGCACCCATATGGGATCCAGGTGAGTGCAAGGCAAGGACTTTAACAACTAGGTTACCATGCCAAGCCCTCAATACTCTTTCTGACATGCTTCACTCCCATGACTTCCTTTTGGTTAACATGGCGCATCAAGTTCACAGCCTTGGCAAATGCGACTTCTGGTGCCTGAAAGACATTTTTTTCCTTCCCCGACTCTCACTAGCAATTCCTACTCATTACACTTTAGTTTCCAAGTGCAGTCCTGGACCTCATCCCACAACATGGAAGTTACATTTAGGATTCTGTTTCTCCTCCTGAGTTGTAAGTTCCTTGAAGAACAGGGGGAGCCTGTGCTGGGCATGGGGGTAGACACTAGCGAGAGAGCAGGTAAGCAGCACAGACAGGCCAGGCTAGGAAGCAAAAGGTCAGGAACGACCTAAGGGAGCTCAAATTTTATCAGGCAACTGCTCCAAGTACTTATTTTGTTGAGTAACCTGGTGCCACCCTAGGTTCTGAGGAGAGAACTACCTTTAAAGATGCTTTTCTCTTTAAAGTACTGGACAATAGCTTTAAACAAAATCACACAGGTCTCAGGACCCTCTTCTCCCTCCTTTTAATGTCCGATTTGTCTAGAGTAAAACCACCTCACTTTGCGCTCATAACCACCAACGTGCAGGTGCCCAGCAATCTGGACAGTTTCGGTATTAATGATGTGCTATCTCCCTATTTCTCTGACAACAGACCATCCCCTAGTGCCCTCCACACCTACTCCAGTGGGCGTTCATGTGGCTGGCCAATTTTCCTGTTACTAGGGATAAACCTCACCACAATGCTTCTGGCTTTGGTCAAACTTTCCATTTTGGCAGTACAGCCCATTCTTTATTTATTTTTCTTGTTTTTTATTCATATTTCCCATTTCACAATTTTACAGGTATAGAGCTTCCTCCCCTCTCCCCACCATTCTTTGTTATTTAAAAATAACTCGAACAAATCTATTCCTTCCCTTGTTTTGCCAAGTTCCCTCTTTCAACCAGATCATTTGTCAAACACATGCTTGAATTCCTCTCAAAAAAACAAAAGCTCTCAAACTTTTCGGTTTCAGCTGACACTGTGTGACTCCCCTTTCTAGGAAACGTGTGAATAATCAATTGTCTGGCTCTCAGTTCCTCAACTCCTCTCCCCTGTACCACGCCAGCCAGGGTCCACTCCGACCATTTCTGAAACTACTGTTTTCAAGGAAGGACTCTTCTCACAGAAGACACTCCTGCTTTTCAATCCTGTCACACAGGCGTTGCTCCCTTCCCCTGGCAGGATGCTACAGGCACTTCCTGCAGTATCTCCTAATTACTACCACCTACTTCCAACCTGAGCCACAAGGAATTTTTATTATAATTTACGTCAAATTGTGTGGCTTCTTGTGTCAATCAGACTACCAAGCTGTGACGGCCTATAAGGTTTATACCAGGCTACCCCTGGCCCTTCTGACCACACACCCTTATACCCCACTCTCCTCCGGCCACAAGGCTTCCCTCCTACTCCCTGCACACACTTCCCACTGCAGGGCCTTTCCACTTCAGGGACCCACATGGCTCACTCCCTCACCTTCTTCATGTTTTTACTCAAATGCCACTTTCTCAGTAAAACCTACTGAAAACGACAGCGTCCCTCCAGCTTGCCTCCGCTCGTTACTACACGACTGTTCATCTTGCTTAGTTTACCGTCTGCCTCTTCCCATCCGAGTTCCCCGGAACCAGATATTTGCCCATGTTCTCTTCACAGCTGTATCCTCATGTCAAGAACACATGCTAGCAAACAGAAGGTGGCTCACAGGTGAGTCGCTGAATGAATAAAATAAGAAATTCTCAGTGTGCTTCACATGTAGAACTATGACATCAGAATTTATTATTTTGAAATTTTTAATTTCACTTCACTTTTTTTTATTGCTTTTTAGTTGATACTGTTCTCTACTTTCCAAACAGTTACTTTAAGTTTATTTTTAAAAAATTATATTTAACACATATTTAGTTTTAAAAGGGAAGAAAAAGCCCAACACATTATAGTGTAACTAGCCCAAGTACGAAGGGGAAAAAAAAGCCTAGTATTCAAACGAAGGAGGTTTAAGAAATCTCTTCAAGTAGTGTTGCCAGATAAAATACAGGACATCCGGTTAAATTCGAAGTTAAGATATACAACAGTCCTAGTTTATACACACTTCGGAGATTAAATTTTGGGTGTTTTTTTCCTTCTAAATCTGGCAACCCTGCCGTCTGCTTCCACTTATACCAGAACTAGACAGGTGGATTCTTGAGCCACTGAACACGTTTGTGCGGCTGGGCGGGACCCACTCACCGAGGCGCAGCCCCACGGCGGCCCTCGGGCGACGCGCGGGCTGGCCCCGTGGACGCACCGGGTGTCCCCGTGGACACGCAGGATGGCGCCGTGGACGCAGCGGGTGTCCCCGTGGACGCGCAGGGGAGAGGGGCTCCGCGCCCTGCTGGCGGAGGCCGTGGCTGCGCAGCCACTTTCCGGCCCTTACCAATGTTGCCTTCGATGGAGAGCCTTCGGGGTCCGCGCCCCGCGGGCGGCCCCCGGGAGGAGGGCGCGCCCTCGAGTGGGTGCTGAGCCATGGAACCGAAGGCTGCTTGAAGCCGACGCAGAGACAGCCTGCCCACGGCCATCCCACCCACGCGCGGCGTAACCATCATTTCCGCCCTTGCTCCCGCGGCTCACGCGGGTCGGCGCGCCTCTGACGTCAGGGGACCGTCAGGCAGGAAGTGAGGGGTCCAGGGAGAGGCTTTTTCTCGCGAGGATTGTGAGGCTGCGCGCGAGAAGGCTCTGCGTTCGGCGGCGGCTGCGGGTGCTGACACGGTGGGCACCGTGGGCCGTGCAGTTGTTTCCATTTCTAATTGGCTCCAGATATGAAGGCCAAAAATATATGTAGATAGATATACTTTCCACTTGGAGTGGACTTGCAGCCCCTGCACAGGAAGACAAGAAACCATGCTTTTTTTTTTTTTTTTTTTAAAAAAAGGGCTTTTGGGCCTGGCGCAGTAAGCCTAGTGGCTGAAGTCCTCTCCTTGCATGCGCCAGGATCCCATATGGGTGCTGGTTCAAATCCCGGCAGCTCTGCTTCCCATCCAGCTCCCTGCTTGTGGCCTGGGAAAGCAGTCGAGGACAGCCCAAAGTCTTGGGATGGACCCTGTACCCACGTGGGAGACCTGGAGGAGGTTCTGAGCTCCTGGCTTTGGATCAGCTCAGCTCGGGCTGTTGCAGTCATTTGGGGAGTGAATCATTGGACGAAGATCTCCCTCTCTATATCCAGCCTTCAAATCAAAATAAAATAAATCCTTAAAAAAGAAAAAGTTGAAGCGAGTGGAGCTTGCTAGACGGGAACAGGGTGGCGTCGGGGAGAGGGTTTTTGGGCCTGAGTAGCCTCCACCCCTCGGTGCCTGATGCTGTGTTCTGTCACACTCACCATCATAGCAACCTAGGAAGAAATGGTCTATACATTTTGTCAGGTGCTGTTTTCGCTGCTTAAACTGGGAGTCAACAGAACAAGCTGACAATGAGACAGTGAGGACGCATGGACTTGGTTACAAGGTGGATGGACCACTTTTTTTTTGTTATTGAAAGGCAGAGTTACAGAAAGAGAGATCTTGCATTGCTGATTTATTTCCCAAATGGCCCAAGGGCTGGAATTGGAACTGGTTGAAGCCAGGAGTCAGGAAATTCTTCCAGATCTCCCAGGTGGGCTCAGGGGTCCAAGGACTTGGGTCATTCTCTGTTACCCTCCCAGGGCATTAACAGGGAACTGGATCAGTGGAGCAGCTGGTACAGGAACTTGTGCCCTTAAGTGATGCTAATACCACAGGCCGTGTCTCTCTCTCCTGCGACAGAATGCCAGCCCCTGTGGCACTGGTCTGGGAGTTGCTTTTATGGGATGATTGAATGCGCTTGTGTAGCAAGCACATTATTATTATGATTTTTAATAATGATAAGCTGGGTGGGGCGCTGGTGAATAAGGGTTCAGTTGAAGTCTGTTCCCTTCCCTTCCCTGCTCTGTGTGCAAACACTACTTACCTATTTTTACCTGTGTAAAGTTGGAGTTGAACACACTCATCCAGAAAAGTTTCAGAGGCTCTTCATGAACCCAGGGTCCCACCACCCTAAAGTTGTGGTGACAAATGAGGAAATCGTGTGCAGGTTTATAAGCATCTGGTAATCAAATGGTTTCTACAAGTTGTAACTTTTCAAAGTCTTAATCTGATGTCTGAATTTTATCTATTTTGTATGTGGCAGCTGTAGTTCATTCTTTCTCAATGTTATATAGTAGTCCACTGTGTCACTATATCACAATTTTTTTAAATTAATTTACTATTGATAGGCGTTTGGAAATTTCCAGATGTGAGCCACAATGAACACTTGTATGTATTCCAGGTATTAGTCCTCTGTGAATGTTTTCTCCTGAATGGTTTTCTTCTAAAAAGTGTTTTGAATTTTCTTGATGGATAAAGACATTAAATTAATCTTTGCCTAAATTGTCTGTATTTACCCTAGGATCATCATTACTCATGACCTTTTTTATTCCTTTTTGCTTGCTTCTGCTAGTTTTACTACATGTCATATCATGAATAAAAATCCATCCTTCTTGGTTGCCATTCAGAATTCCCAGGTAGAGACTGATTGCTCTGGCTGCTGTCAGAGATGTAATATTGGTGTCCCTGCACCAGAGGACAGAGTCTCATACAGAAACGTGGCTGTTGAGCCCCATCTCTGCTTGTGAGGAATGACAATTAAAGGGATCCTTAGGAGCAAGGAAGACACCAAACAGGGAATAATTTGGGCTCAGTGTTGTGGTACAGTGAGTTGAACCATTGCCTACAAAAGCAGCATGCCAGTTTGAGATCATGCTATTCCACTTCCAATCCAGCTCCCAAATGGCCGAAGTTCTTTGGTTCCTGAAGATCATGTAGAAATCCCTGATGAGTTCCAGGATCCTGGCCCAGCCCCAGCTGATGTGGCTATTTGGGGAATGAACCAGCAGATGGAAAGTAAATCTCTATTTCAATCTCTCTTCTTTCCTTCTCTCTCTTTGAAATGAATCTTTTTTTTTTTTTTTTTTTTTTTTAAGGAGTGATCAGATCCTCCTAAAAGGGCATGGGAATCTGGTAAGGCAGAATTGTTTCCCAGTTTCCTAGAAGCATGAGGAATTTCCGCTGAGGTGTGGGTGGTAAGTAATGCTATAGTCAGATAGCCCCTGCAGGTGTTAATAGGAGCTGGTGTTGTCCTGCGTGGGACTCCTGTCATTCAGCCCACAGATGCTGAGCATCTGCCATATCCCAGGCACTGTGCTGAGTCCCTGGTGTGTGGCTCCAATGGGTTTACTAGTTTTCAAATGTTTGTAAATGCTACCATAAAATATTTCTGCATAGGGGCCTGGCGCAGTGGCGCAGTGGGTAAGGTCCTCGCCTTGCACGCCCGGGATCCCATATGGGCGCCGGTTCTAATCCCAGCAGCCCTGCTTCCCTTCCAGCTTCCTGCCTGTGGCCTGGGAAAGCAGTTGAGGACGGCACAAAGCTTTGGGGCCCTGCATCCGCGTGGGAGGCCCGGAAGAGGCTCCTGGCTTTGGATCGGCATAGCATTATCGGCCGTTACACTCACTTGGGGAGTGAATCATCGGACGGAAGATCTTCCTCTCTGTCTCTCCTCTCTGTATATCCACCTTTCCAATAAAAAAAATAATAATAATAAAAAAATCTTTAAAAAAATTTCTGCATAATATGTGAAATGTTATGCAACTAGGAAAAATGGGAGGTAAACACACAAAAATAGGAACTGGGCTTTCTTCTGCTGCTTGGTGGTCAGTTACATCTCATCCATGTTGCTGCCTGCACTGAATTTATTTGGTTAAACTGAGAAGTAGGTTTCCAGAATGTTCTCCCAACATGGCTCGGAGTTAGAGACAACCAAAGAGGAGCTGGTGTGAGATCTGAAAGGCAGAATGGGAGCCTCTGCCACTCTGGGGATATCTGTATAGTAAGATGTTGCAACAGTGATGTCCCCAGCAGGTGGATCTTTGCATATTTGTGACTCCTTCCTGTCCTACAGTTCCTTGGAGGCATTCACTTCCCTGCACCTCCACCTTTGGGCAAAGTCTATTTCCGCTAATCAATCCCTTATTCCCATAGTACTCGTAGTTGTTCTGCTCTTCAGTGATCATTGAGGGATCGACCCAATCATAGTGGTTAAGAAAGTGGCCTGGGAGGGAGGAATAGCAGGACAACCCACATGGAACATCTACTACACACTTACTGAGCAAGACACTACTACATGGTTTGCCTGGGATTTCTACTTTGACTTTCAGTTGGGTTTCCACTTTCCCCAAGACACTTTCTCCTCCAGTCCATACTTCTACTGGAGACTCTAGAATAGCATCTTCTTCCTCTTGAAATGGGACAAGGATAGGGGCAGAAGGAGGGGTCAGGGAGGTAAAATGAGTATGCAGGATGGGAGGGGAATGACTTGCCCACTTCCTCCAAAGAGAGTGTCATGTGCTTCTTCATGGCAGGTGGTGCCAGTGCTGTACTTGTCCTCAGATCTTGTGGGTGTGTGTGTGTGTACCTCCACCCAGTCCTCCATTTCCCCCCAGGTGGAATCACCTATCCCTGGCAGGTGCAGGATTATGAGAGGCTAGCTTTCCTGCCTCAAGCAGTCTTTACACAGTGTACAGAGTTCCCCAGGGAAGGGTCCAGCTTTAAGCTGGTTTCTATGGGAATGAGCCACCTGTTGGGCCTCCTTCCTCTCCTCCTCTGCTGTTCCCACTCTGCCTACCTGAGTGCTCTTTCACAATATGTCACTTGCATCATCCTCATCCCAGGATCTGCTTCTGGGAAACCCATGCTGGGACAGAAAGCCCTCAAGGGTAAATGAAAACTTTCTTCCCCAGCCCACCCCACACCAGGGGGCAAATGCAGGGATAGTGAAAGAGGCCCATCTGCTATTGAGGTGGTTATGCTAACCATAGAGCCCCACTGTCTCCAAATGGTGTCCTGTGTCAGCTGGAATACGATCCAGAGCCTAGGTGGAGAGGAGTAAGGATGCACCAGGCAGAACTGAGGCCCTGTTCTGCTACACACTAGTTGGGTGGCTCAACAACTTAGCTGTAAGAAGGGGATGAAGCTCCCATCAATCTCTTAGGGTTATGTGTGGATTAAAAGGGGAAATCCATGCAGAGCTCTTAAACCACTGCTCAGTGTATTGTAAGCAACTCAATGTAAGTCCTGATTATTAGCCCTCATTTTCTCAGAGTACTCTGGATGTTTCTACTTCATGTCATATCATTGTCAAGTATGTGTGTGTGTCTGTCTCTCCCTTTACATAGGGAAACACTGGTGGGCAGAAATGATCTTTTTGAGGAGTCTGGACCCCATGGAGCTTGCTTAGCTGTTTTGGATGCTAAAAGTTCACTAGCAACCAGTGAAATTAAACAGCAGTGACCAATGGCAGGAGGTGGAAAGGAAGGAATAACAGGCAGCTGTGCAAAGGAAGTGGCAGCAGGGGACAGGGAAGGAAAGGAAGGGGAAGGGGAAATGTCATTCCTATGGGTGCTGTCCCTTTATTGGTTTCTTTGGGGGCAAACAACAACATAATCCTCAATGACAAAGGACTACCGTGACTGCCTTTCATCCAGCTCAAGTAACATTCTG